TGAATGTCCTTTTGTCGTTACGCCGACACAATGACACCGAAGCAGGTTTTGTTTGGGGGTAGGGCTGATACTGATGCTGATGATGATGATGACGGGTAGCTGCCTCACTCCGCCGGGAGTGCCCGTTACGGCATCCGTGTCCGTGCCTGTGTCCGTATCCGTGTCCGTGCTTGTTGTGCCAGTGTCCGGGATGATGACTGCGATGATGTTGATGGGGCAATGACGGCAAACAGGGCTCTTAGCGTGGCTGATGGCTGCCACATTCCGTAATAGCGGTAACAGGGAATGGCCAGAACTGGCCCACTGCCCACCCGCCAAACGCTTAAAGTTGAAGCACTTCCCCACACGTTATAGCGCCATGCTGTCTCCATTGCACTGCCGGGAAAAATCCCAATCTGATATTAAAAAATTAAATCCCTGACTTAAGAAAGCTTCTTTCTTAACGTAACGACGCAGCATAAAAATAAGTTATCTTGATGTAATGGTTTTGTAATTGTCCAGGTGAAAAATCTTGGGTGTACTTCACAACCTTTTTTAACTTTATCTAGAGCATTGTGACTTTTGACTCTTTGTTTAACAGTAACAACTTCGTAAATGGTTGTATGAAATGGTTATATACACATAAATGTATATTGACTGAACCAACCCATATTTACAGACATTTTAGAAATAACCTTTTTAGAAATCTTTAAATCTTAAAATCAAACTAGCTATAGCCAAAGCTACTATTTATTTTAAGATCTTCTCCTTTGCTCTGTAAAATAAGATCTAAGATTTCCGGAACCTCAAAAATCTTTTAGAGGATATTTTATAGCCCTATTTTATCAGTGTCGGAGCGCGGCGTAAAAAATGAAAAGTTTAAACTGAACTCCGGCAGTCGCCAAACGCCAGAACTGGAGCTTTAATAGAATTATTGATTTTCCGCGCTCCGCGAGGAGACCTCCGGCTCCTTCCCCACATTAAAAACACTCGCACAGCATGTGTAGGTCTTTTCCAGCCTGATGATGTCGCGTTCTTGCTTATTTAAATATTTTTCCGCACAATATAGACGACCAGGGTGGTGGGGTTTTGGGGAACGGGGGTCGATGATGAGTTGGCTAACAGTAAATAACATTTACGTTTGAAGTACGGGCGGCCAGCCAGACACATGGGTTTATTTTGGGCATGCGAAAATATTTGCATCGCGTTTGGTGGTCCAAAAGATGTCATCGAACCGGAAATTTGAATGTGTGCGTTCAGGAGGAGAAACTTTATGAGCTTCCCTACTGAAAATGTTTCAAAACGAATTCGTAAATAAAGTTTCACATAAAATATATCCTAGTTTCAAAAAAAGAAATTACAATTTTGTAAATTCCTTTTCAAGCCTATACTGATTTTCCAAAACATTTTTACAAAAATGTAAGCTTTAACTGAATACTTTCATGATTAAACATTTTGGTTATATTATAGAGTTATGGGTTTTGCGGGAACAGCTTGATAATATTTTATTAATAAGATTCTGAAAATGTACTTTCCAAATAGTAAGTTAATCCAAGCTTAATCTCGTATACATTTTCTGCAACCAGAAGGTTTTATATACACAAACATTTTGTTTGAAATCTCAAAAGTCCTAATATATTAGTGCAGCCTTATTTTTCGTTTTATGTCCTTATTGATTGATTTAATTTTTGTAATTTAAAACACAGAAATAATTATGGACTTCATAACAAAAGCATTTTAGAATAAATATCTTTTACATTTTGAAAATTATAGATTGACATGAAGTAGCCCATTTACAGATACTATTTGCAATACCTTAAATCTCTAAATATTTATCAATTGGAAAAGACTTTTAGTACATATGTGCCAAATCTGCGAAAAACAAAGGGAAACAAATTCTAATTTATGTAATTATTATAAAAATTATTATTAAAATTATCGGTACTATCAACGGATTGCAAAAGCTAACGATGGTAGCGTCCATGACTTAAATATTGCCATAAAAACTTACACAATCCTTTTAACGAAACCCTGGCTCATTTTCTACTTTGTAGTTGGGTTATTAACTCTACTTGTGCTGGGGAATTAATTAAGTTTCTCTATTGGGAAGCTGAAATTACATGCCACATAGAAATGTATCTGTGTGCCACATAAAAAGATGTTCACTCTTAGAGTGTGTGTGTGTGGGGAGCTCCATCTAAAATGCTAAGAGCAGCAAAAGATTTTGAGCCCCGAAATTTGGTAAAGCTTCGCAAATAACGTCGACGTCGAAAAAGGGAAGAAGTGGAGAGGGAAACGGGGACGATAAAACCGCAGTGGAAAAAGAATATAGGAAAAGGAAAAAAAAAGAACAAGATGAAGTCTCGGTGCAAAGCGGTTGCTTAGCCAATCAGCGAGCGGCGGGGGCGGAGTCTATCCCGAACTGGTTTGCCGGCGCTTTTTATGTCGATTTCGTGTTTTTCCTCTTTTTTCGTATCTCGTATTCTTTGGCGTTTTTCGCCTTGCTCATCTCTCTTTGCTCTAATTTTTTCGATGGGTTATCTCGCTCTGGCACGAGGCCATTGGAGCGACAGAGAGGGAGCGACCGTCTTGTATGATTGTGTGTGTGAGAGAGCTACCGAGGGAGCGAGAGAGAGTGAGAGAGCGCTAAAGAGGGAGAAAGGGAGAGCTTGCGCATTGGGGAAGTGGGGAAAAACGAATCGCGCGGGATAAAGATATCCAAATCTAAATTTTCATGTTTTCTTAAAGCCATCGCTTAGAGTTTTTTTTATTTTTCTAGCGATATTTTAAATTATTTATAGATGGTAATTTTATAACAGTTAAGTTGCAGTAAACCGTTTACTTTTATATTTTTTTAAAAACGGATATCCTAAACTAATTACTCAGCCCACTGTAACTCCACCCAGTTTCGTAGGTTCCCCTGCGGGTACTGTATATAGAAATCCTATTTACCATTTACTTGGACGCGGTTGGCTAAATCCTGCAGCCCAAACACCTAATCACATGTAATGCGCGCGCATTATCTGCGCTCTTATCTCTTGTTTTCCGGGGGAGCCACCCACCCCCGCCCGCCGGCGAAATCCACTTCGGGCCTGAAACTCACGAGCCCTGAAACGAAGGCCGTCGCCATTCACAGTTGACGGAGGTGCTAAATGCCGAGTGGGTGTGACCCCCTAAGCCTCCCACCACCCACCACCACCCACCGAGAGGAATAAGCACGGCCGATTTACTTTACTCTTTCATCCCGAATACCCGAACCGAACCTATTGCCGCACTGCTCGCACTCCCACTGGTTTGGCTCACGCCCACGCCCACTCTACATGGTGTAGGGGTGTATGTATGTGTGTGTGGTATAATTCCACCCGAATTTGCAGCAAATCCATTGAGTTTCGCCACAGCGCACAAAAAATAAAAGAAAACGCGCAGCCGAACGGGAATGTGTTGGGTGGAGGGGGGTGTGGTTGGGGAAGGGGTGGACGGGGGGTGGGGCGACGGCTCTGGCGACGACAAGTGCAATTCTGCGCCGGAACAGGTTTACCCACTGTTTACACGCGATTGTGGTTGTGTGTGTGCGGGAGAGTCGCTCTCAGGTTCTCTCCAAACGCTACGCTCTTTCACCTCTCTGGTCCTGTGCGTGTGCTTTGTTTTGGTCACTCACCAACGCACACATGCGAAACTGATGGTTTGCCTCACTCACCAGAATGGAATTTGGCAGTATTCCTACTACGCTTTGCAATACCATTTTATTGGACCATTTTTTAAGAAAAAGATTTGATTTATACGTCCGATAAGTAAAATTCTTATGAAGTCATTGATTATTTTACCCAAACCTCCATCTGTCGAGCAAACCAAATCTTACAATAGTATTATATGTATGTATATATATTATATTTCCATAGGTCATTTTCTAGGAACAAACCTTCGACTATAGTTTTGATATAGGTAATGGAAAAGTGGTACACCAAAACTTAAAAATTTTAAGTTCTCAAAAACTCATCATATTTTTCGCCATTCTAGTCTTTAAAGCTTAAGAAATAACAAACACAATCTTTATCCGAACCCTTTATAAACATAACAATTTACTCTAATTAAGTTACTCTTAGAGTTAAAATTTATTGTGTATTCTTTGAAAGACATTCTAATGTATGGAATAATCCGTTCCTGACACAATAAAGTATATACATATGTTTACAAATACTTTTAGGCAACACAAATTAGTCAACAAATACTGAAAAAATACATGAAAAAGGTCCTTAAAACACTGACAATAAAATGTAATCACAAGTAAAAGAGCACATGATGTATTATGTGAGTCGTTCTTGACAAACGTCAGTGACAACCGCAACTAACCGTTCTGCTCCATATCAATCCTTTTAAAAATTTATAAAACCACATAAAAATGGTGTTAGCTACAGTCGAACCACAATTTTTCAATAACCTTCAACGACCTCCAAAAACAATTAGAGTTCCGGTTACTTAAAGTAAAAGCATACATTTTATGTTAATTAATACTCTCTATTGAAAATACGATTAATTTGACGTATATGGAGTTGGAACTGTATATATTGTAGAGGAAGTCCTTTATCGAATTCTTTGGCATCCTTGATTTAAAATAATTTTGATAAATATTTGTTGGCGTGATGAAAATGGCCATAATTTCTATATATAATTGAAATGGATTCTCGATAGCCAATACCTACTACCTTTTCAGTGCCTAGCCTACTACTTTTTCACGGGTTCTCTCTCCGCACGAAAAGAAGAGAGGTCGCCAGCTCTCTCTGACACCCACACCAGTGCACACGGCTAGGCGGCAAATGGAGCCGCGTGAGAGAGCGAACTTGCCCAAAGGGGGTGGGGGTAGGCTGGGGGAGGAGCGCGGCCGGGGGCGAGAACGAGACCGAAGACCAACGACTGAGGACCGAAAGAGACCGAGTACCGGCACCGGCAACATCGACTGCGACGTCGGCAGCGGTGGCGGCAGAATGTGCGAAGGCGAAAGAATGCCGTCAGTTGTGCGACAACTTTGGCCAAGAGAGGATGTCTTGACGCGCGTCCGCTCACCAACACACTTGCGAAGAGAGTCCAGAGAGTTTCCAGATCAGTCTTAGTCAGTCCAGAGCCAAAGGACTCGGCAGGTTAGGAGCACCCATATCCATTTGACCAGAGGAGAAGCCCATGAACGCTTCGCTGGATTTGCGATTTGCAACTGGCGATCTGCAACTGCCACATTCGATACGCTGCCAATCCTGGTGACGCAGCGACGCGATCAGCTCCCGATTTCATGGCACTAATGATGTCGCGTCGCCCACAACAACAGCAGCAACTACAACAACATCAGCAACAGCAACTGCAGCATCCACTAGCGTCATCGAATCCGTTCCACAAGGAGACGCGCGTTTCACCTGAGCGTGTGTGCGGTTGCGCGTGTGTGTGTGCCTGTGTCTAATTTGCGTATCCGCGCCACTAAATCATAACAACAAAATAATATAGAAAATCAAATCAAGAAATATACCCGCCACAGTAATCGAATTTGAAATCGAGCAACCCCTTATCGCGGTCACAAATTGCAATCAAACAAATCACAGCGAACCATCCAAATTGCAATTAATGCCAAAGCGTCAGCATCTGGCTGCATAAAAGAAATACGTGAACTGTAGAGTCAGTGATTAGAACTTTGAATCGCCATCGAGATGGACTTCCAGAGCGCCATGGAGACCTTCGCGGAGGCCTGGGTGGCAGCCAATGCCGGTCAGCAGGTGAGTTTCGGCCTTAAGTCTATCGGGATCCCCCAGAATATAGCGTCACTCCAGCTGGAGATCGCTTTGCCGCCGGCACTTCACACCAATTAGTCAGATCTCCCAGCACTCCCCCACTTTTCCCGCTCCGTTGCCAAATGAATCAGTTCAAAAACAAACAAAATCGGCCAAGCGACATATGGCCAAGCTAAGGAGATAAGGCCGTGTAGATATGCGCTCGTTTCGCTATTTATGCAGATTAAGATAATCCTTATCGGCTGAGATTTTCGAGATCGGTGCTGCGATAAGCCCACCGCACCCCCATTGTTTGTTTGTGTTCCTCCACCGAGTACTTCTCCGTGTTCTTTGGCCACTAATTGCATTGTAAAGCCGATCCCCAAACCGCAGAACGCAAAAGTGGGAGAGTTCTGGTCTCCGAGAGCTTTTGCGCCAGCCCAGCCAGATAAGATAATCCCGACGGTAACTTTGACAAATGCTGGTAATTTCGGCATAAGGCGATGACGAACTTAGATATCGATGGGGCTTACGGGTGGGGATGGGGATGGGGATGTTGGGCATGGAAGGCAAAAGGGGTAACCATTACCCCATAGAGCATGTTCCTGGGCTTTGCCATCGCGTCATCGCTCTGCGCCGCTTTTTATCGGACTCGAGCGCCCCTGTCACTGATATCGCAATTAATCCAAATAAGTGCGATAAAATTGATTATGAACATGCTGGCGTGATTAGTCCAACTCCCCCCATCCAAACCGATCTGGTGGGGAGGAGGGGGGTGGATCACTCATACACATGTCCAGATATCTGGCCGTGTGTGAGTTGCCGGGGCGGGCAGCGTTTATTAGCAGACATAATTGATTATGTTGTGTGAGTGTAATTATTATTTATCTGGCTCTGCGGTCTGACTTCTGCCTTTGCTGCTCAACCCATTGGTATCGCTTCGAAATCGGTGACCCAATCGCCGAAAAGGGGGGTTGACTAATCCAAGAATTTATGGATTTTATTTCCATTTGATTTCGAACACGTCTGAGTTGTATATTAAACAAATCTCAATCTCGGGGTGAGCACATGGCACCCACCTCCATTGTCTTTTGGCCGAAGTTATGCCCCAAGAACCATTGTACTTGAAAAAGAATTCGCTGGCATACCAGTCATTTTGTATACACTTGCCAGTGGGAATAGTGGCCTTCTAATCACCAAATTCGCTATTTATTCTCTATAACCTTGAATTAATGTGAGCTGAAAAGCTAGATCCTCTGGGATTGCTGTGTTTCAAATGGGTCCGAGTGGGATTCTGTTTGGAAAAATGTACATGCGTAAGATTACGTTATCGATAAAAGTATAAAATAATTCTGTTAATAAAAATGTATACATATTTTTATTTTTGTTAGTTTCGAATTAAGTCGATATATCCCGGGGCCAGAGCATTCGAAACTTCGGCTTCACTCCGATTCGTTTCATCTATTTTTTGTGTTGTTTCTTATTTTTGACAGTTTTATGTGTCGACGCATATGCTTAGTGAATGGGATTAAGATAAGACGACGTAAGTTCTCCGCTGACTAGGCCAGATAATAAACCAGTATGGCCAGAATGGGTATAAATAAATGTGAATTCTTTCAAAACTATAACAAATCATTTCCAGCAGCAAATGTGTTTTTGCGAGTGTGTGAGTGACTTCTTTGGGCTTGCAAACTAATTATAAAGCATTTAGTTTTATTGTTGTGATAATTTTTTGGGTTTTTCTTAGGGTAAAATATCGGAACCGAACTCGGGGAATAGATAATGCCGTGCGAGTCTCTTCACACCCGGTTAGATCACCTAGCCCTCTCGGGCGATCAGATAGGCCGTCTTATAAATTATAAATGGTTCGATTTTTGTCTAATCTGAAAGTGTTAGCTAGGGCGAGGGCGATGGCGAGGGGCAGGGCGGAGGCATTAGAAGTCAGATAATGGAATATTTATTAATTGAAATCTTCTTCGCCACTGCTTCCTGCTCACCGCCGTGATCATCGAATAGTCATTTCCTCTGCCTCGTTTTCACCAGCGATCTGCGACCAAGACTAATGATAATCGGGGTTAATCTGGCCGCGCATCGAATCGGAGTTCCAATCAAATGCATTCTTCTCCATTTTTGTTGGACCCGGGCCCCTTCCCACGTTTTCGGTTTCGTTAAATTCCGGTAGTCAAATGTCCATTAAATGCTGCTCATAAATGTCCAAACTGTTTGTCATCTTTGTGACTTTTGTTGCTGTTGCTGCTGTGGCAGTCGCCTCCTGACTTCTTGCTTTCTTTTCTTCCTTGGGTCTAGCACCTCTTTCAATTCTTCGGGCAGTCCGTATTTATCAGAGCTTAGGCATGTCCCCCCCCCACACACACACACACACACTGCTACCATCTACTTCTTTCCTTGATCTCTTTAGCCGCTTTATGCGCTGCTGCTACTTGATTGTAACACATTTTTAGCATTTCATTCGACGCTTTCTCACTCCGCTCCGCGATCCGTCAGTTGAGGCGGGGCTTTTTACGGCCCGATTATGCGCCTTCGCTGAGTTCGCTATATGTATAAACGTATTTATTAATTATTCAAAGCCGATTGGATTATAATAATTTATAATGATTATTATCATAAGTCGGCGGACTTGGCCTCAGATTCAGATTGCGACTCGGTTTCATTTCCAGATTTCGTCTGTTGTTCTGCGAGCTTCGTTTCAATCAAACTAAAAGCTGCGACAATATTAGATAGTACTTAGTTGGCGGTAAGTGGAAGGAATATCAAACACCGAAAACGCTTTAAGTTAATTACACGATGTCAGCTTGTCGGTGGGACTACTTCTTCATTTCTTCATTATTATTTTGGCACTTGCAGAGCGGCCTTAAATCAATTCCCCACTTTTTCGTGATCGGTTTTCGTGTGTTCATGTTTCGATTTCGGTTTCGGTATTTCGGTATTTCTATTCCCCACTCGGAATCGCTTTCAAAGGCGCCGCTCGCCAGCTCTCTCCTCCTCTGCAGCTCCTCAGATAATCAACAAAACGTGTTCGACTTGTCGAGGTTTTCCTTTCTGCACTTATCATAGAACACCTTTCGGCCGGGGTGTTGCTGTTGTTGTTTCGCAGCTAATGACACCTTGATAAAACGATTTGTAAGACATTGCGATAAAAGCGGTTCAGGCTTTGTAGCTTAAGGCGAACCGAAAGCTGATAAAAATACAAGCCGAAAAAAAAACGGAAAAGTTCGAATGATAATGACAACTTTGGGTAATTAATTTGTGGGGCGGGAAAGGGGAGGAGCAGTCCAGATTGTGGATTCGATGTCTTTGGGTATTTGTTTGGGCATTTGTCATTCAGCTTAATCGGAATGCACAGACTGTGACAAAACACGAGAAAAGAATCGAATTTTATACAATTTACGCATTTCGAAAGTCATCTCCGAATGTTGCCTCCCCCATTGTCACCTTTTTCATTCTTAATTAGTGGATTTAGCTTGTTCCCCGTAGATATACGAGACTGCCTGAATTTCAGCCCCTCCGCAACTATTTTTATTTGGGCCAGCCAAATCCGTATTCCTTAGCTCCGGCGGACATAAATTTTCGAATGTTTTGAAAATTATGACAAGTGGGTTGGAGACAAGTGGGAATGAAATGAATATCTGGGGAGATTCGTGTATATGCCTCGGGTATATACATATATGCTTTTCTATTTGGGCGTCTCTGTGATTATAAACTTTGCTGGTTCTGATCACGATGACATTGTGGGGCTTACATGAAGGTATTTTCGGTGCTGAAGATTTATTATTTATCACTAATACGCCCCGTTGAAAATCATAAGCCGCAACAGCAGCCGGTGATTTCTACAAGTCACAGCGACAATCGGCTTCCAGCATATTTCTTCAAGCCCAGAGTCGAAGAGTGGAGTCAACAAAATGTCGGTAACCTCGTCTTATTTAAAGTATTAACTGCTAACTAATGTGCGACACATTATAAAGAGCGCGAGACCGAGCATAACACATATCGATACGATGCCAAACAGGTGATCGCCGGCACAGTGAGTAAGCGGCGATCATGCCTGGCATCGACAAAAGGGATTATATTTCCTAAGCGGTCCCAACAAAATGTGACCAAAGCTGGAGCGTCTGGTACAGCGGTATATGGTATATGGTATTCAATGCCCGACGATCGCTGAGCTGCTTAACTAAATCCGGCTTAAGATCCAACACACAAAATTAATGTCGTTGAAAAACACAGCAAAAGTCACACATTAACAGCGACGACGATCGCGCAGCTTGGTGCCCAGGAAGTGGCGATCTGCCTGCCCCTTCGGTAAGTGGCAAATGGCTAATGGCGAGAGGAAATGCTCGGTGTGTGGACATCTTACAGGGGATTAGTTTGAATTTGCAGTGCAAAGCGGAATGCGGGAAAATAAGCTACTTGCGCTAGCTCCCCCTTTTCGTCCCTCTCCGCCAATCGATTCAAATTACCAACGATTTATTGGCGATCGCCAACGTCTGGCTACCGTGATCAGCTAATCCACTTATCAGTCTCGCATCGGGAAACCCCTCCTTTTCCTTCCCCACCTCCCTCCCCCCCCCCCCCCATAACCCACTCTTAAATCGAACCACATTTTAATCGGCGTCGTAAAGTCGCCGATCATTAACGAATTTAATCTATATAATGGGTCACCAGCCGCCTTTTATCCAAATCTAATCAATTTCACCAATTGCGCTCCCCCTTACCAATATCTAAATGTGTAAATTAGTGTGTTTGCCTTTTATCAGAGGCCTTTCAACTGGCCAAGGGTCCCGGACTAGCACCCAAAAGCCAAAGCCTGACCAGCGTTATATCAAGTTGTCGCCGGGTTAATCTAATCGCACGGGTCTCTGGGAATTATGCGACCGCTTCGGAAGATAACCGCCGCAAGTCCAAGAACGGAATTCGATAAATTCCCAATGCTATCATAATGAAGCGCCCCCAATTTCCCGTTGTAGTATGAGTGTCTGTGTGTGGTTTTA